TCTACTGCTCTTTCCGCTTTCCCTTTTCTCTGCAACAGCTTTATATGTATTTTGATTGTTTTGTAGTTTTCTTTTTTCTTTTTTTGTATCACCCTCTCCCTATCCCATTCCTTTTCACTTTCTCTTACACACACACACAGAGGCCCTCCATATGTATTAGAAAATGAGAGAGAAATAGATAAGGGGTCCATGCGGAAAAAAAAAATACAATGTAGTCATAACTAGCACCTCTTTTTTTCTTTTTTCTCTCTCTTAGTTATATATATATATATGTAAAAGAAATGTTTCGATTTGAATATATATATGTTTGTATTTGCCAACACACCTTATGCCTTATCCCCGAAGCTGCTGTTGTAATGTACCCGCTTTCCCTTCTTGTACACCGCCTCAATGGGTGGATCGACCATTTGATAGATCACATGTTCCCATCGTGGGGCATTAAGAAGTACAACGTCTGCCCACTTTCCCACTTCCAAACTACCACAGACATCACTGAGTTGCAAACTCCCAGCGGAGTTAATTGTAGAGGCCACCAGTGCTTCTTCCATAGTCATATGCATAAGGACACAAGCCACATTCATGGTATGAGGCATAGAAAGAGAATGTGCATTTGGGCAGAAATCACTACCAAGAGCCACAGGCACATGTCCATCAATAATACGCCTTGCTGGTGGTGGTTGAATACGTAAAACATATGCCGTCATTGGGAGTAACACTGCAAAGGAGGGTTTCTTCCGCATTGCCACAATTCCCTCATCACTGATATGCTCCAGATGAGAGACGGCGTCGGCTTCGAGTTCCCCAGCGAGTTCACCCGCCCCAACAGGTGTGAGTTCATCTCCGTGGAAATTTAATGCCAATCCAACGTTTTTACCCGCTGTGAGGATCACACGTGTCTGATCACGATCAAATACTCCAGTCTCGCAGAAGACATCAATATTACGCACATCATTTAATCCCGCCGCCCGCTCTGCAAGTACGGCTGGGAGTTGTACATTCACAACATCCTGCACAGCAGCCGGGGCGGTACTTCCCGCAGGAACGGCGTGTCCACCGCAGAAAGTAGCGGCAATAGTCTGCGGCCCCGCATCTCCAGCGGATTTCAATACTCGCAACATCTTCAGTTCAGAATCGCGATCCAAACCATATCCACTCTTTCCTTCCACAGTGGTGGTGCCAAACGCCAACATACGGCGAAGGCGGGATTGCAGTTGACGTAGAAGTTCAGATTCACTTGCCTTGCGAGTACAAGTGGTGGTGAATCCAATTCCACCACCGGCTTTCTGTACATCCATGTAAGTCGCCCCGTTAAGTTTGATCGCAAACTCATGTGAACGATCACCATCCCAAACAGGATGGGTGTGGGCATCCACAAAACCAGGCAATAGTACTTTACCAGCACATGGTACCTTCTCAGCAACGGAACACTTATTTGAGTTAATATAGGCCATCACCTCCTCGTGAGTCCCAACAGCAGCAATCAAACCGGTTGAAGGATCCACAAGAAGTGAGCCATGGGGAATGATGGCAATTTGGTTACTTTTCTCAGGACCCGCCAAATAACGTTCCCCATTACGTACCACCTGTACCACTTGATCTGCGTTTTCAAATAAAAGCATTCTTGATAATAAACGCTGCGTAGTGGTTGTTGTTTCTGTTACTGTTGGTATTTTTTACTTTTTTTTGTTTCTACTTTGATCTCTCTCTCTTTCTCTCTCTCTCTCTCTTCGCTTTTTTTTTTTCGATACGATTACCTCCTTGTATTTGATACTTTTACACTTTCTTCTGTTTACTTTTCCTTTTCTCTTCTCTCTTGATCAGGGGTTGTCCTTATTTGCTAATATATGTATATGTAAATATTTCTGCGTTAGGGGTGGATTAATATCCGTTCTTCACTTGTAATAATAATGATAATAAAGTGTTTGCTTGGGAGTGAAAAG